GATCATTTTCGTGTTACGCAGCACGTTTGAGCTTCAGCAAGAACCAATGAGGTTCATTCTCGTGTTACGCAGCACGTTTGATCTTCAACAAGAACCAATGAGGATCATTTTCATGTTACGCAGCACGTTTGAGCTTCAGCAAGAACCAATGAGGTTCATTCTCGTGTTACGCAGCACGTTTGATCTTCAACAAGAACCAATGAGGATCATTTTCGTGTTACGCAGCACGTTTGAGCTTCAGCAAGAACCAATGAGGATCATTTTCGTGTTACGCAGCACGTTTGAGCTTCAGCAAGAACCAATGAGGTTCATTCTCGTGTTACACAGCACGTTTGAGCTTCAGCAAGAACCAATGAGGTTCATTCTCGTGTTACGCAGCACGTTTGAGCTTCAGCAAGAACCAATGAGGATCATTTTCGTGTTACGCAGCACGTTTGAGCTTCAACAAGAACCAATGAGGATCATTTTCGTGTTACGCAGCACGTTTGAGCTTCAGCAAGAACCAATGAGGTTCATTCTCGTGTTACACAGCACGTTTGAGCTTCAGCAAGAACCAATGAGGTTCATTCTCGTGTTACGCAGCACGTTTGAGCTTCAGCAAGAACCAATGAGGATCATTTTCGTGTTACGCAGCACGTTTGAGCTTCAGCAAGAATCAATGAGGTTCATTCTCGTGTTACGCAGCACGTTTGAGCTTCAGCAAGAACCAATGAGGATCATTTTCGTGTTACGCAGCACGTTTGAGCTTCAACAAGAACCAATGAGGTTCATTCTCGTGTTACGCAGCACGTTTGATCTTCAGCAAGAACCAATGAGGTTCATTCTCGTGTTACGCAGCACGTTTGAGCTTCAGCAAGAACCAATGAGGATCATTTTCGTGTTACGCAGCACGTTTGATCTTCAACAAGAACCAATGAGGTTCATTCTCGTGTTACGCAGCACGTTTGATCTTCAGCAAGAACCAATGAGGTTCATTCTCGTGTTACGCAGCACGTTTGATCTTCAGCAAGAACCAATGAGGTTCATTCTCGTGTTACGCAGCACGTTTGATCTTCAGCAAGAACCAATGAGGATCATTTTCGTGTTACGCAGCACGTTTGATCTTCAGCAAGAACCAATGAGGATCATTTTCGTGTTACGCAGCACGTTTGAGCTTCAGCAAGAACCAATGAGGTTCATTCTCGTGTTACGCAGCACGTTTGAGCTTCAGCAAGAACCAATGAGGATCATTTTCGTGTTACGCAGCACGTTTGATCTTCAACAAGAACCAATGAGGTTCATTCTCGTGTTACGCAGCACGTTTGATCTTCAGCAAGAACCAATGAGGATCATTTTCGTGTTACGCAGCACGTTTGAGCTTCAGCAAGAACCAATGAGGATCATTTTCGTGTTACGCAGCACGTTTGATCTTCAACAAGAACCAATGAGGTTCATTCTCGTGTTACGCAGCACGTTTGATCTTCAGCAAGAACCAATGAGGTTCATTCTCGTGTTACGCAGCAAGTTTGAGCTTCAGCAAGAACCAATGAGGTTCATTCTCGTGTTATGCAGCACTTTTGAGCTTCAGCAAGAACCAATGAGGTTCATTCTCGTGTTATGCAGCAAGTTTGAGCTTCAGCAAGAACCAATGAGGTTCATTCTCGTGTTATGCAGCACGTTTGAGCTTCAGCAAGAACCAATGAGGTTCATTCTCTTGTTACGCAGCACGTTTGAGCTTCAGCAAGAACCAATGAGGTTCATTCTCGTGTTACGCAGCACGCAGCATTTGGACTAAATCGCTCGATTCATATGGATTGGCTTTACTCTTTATGAACTTTTTGAAGCGTCAAAGTGGTAGTTGTGTAGCTGTCAATGGAGGGACAGAAAAAAAAGTGCTCTAAAGATGAACAAAAGTCTTCGGGTTTGGAACGACCTGAGGGCGAGTAATTAATGGCAGAATTTTCATTTTTGAGTGAACTAACCCTTTTAAAGTGTGTATGTCAGGTTAAATTTGTAATTATGATTAACACAAAATAGTTAGGGGAAATACACGTTTGACAAGTTGATGTATTGTTTTGTATGTTTTTCGATACCTAAAGGCAGAATATAAGATGAAAAAGTTTGTTATTTTCAGTACTCACTTAAAACTGCTCCTCCGCCCAAACGAATCGCTTGACGTCATAAAAGGGAGACGTCTCCCCAGGGCACTGAGAAAGTGAGTTTGTGAGCTGTGTTGATAATTGTACCAGTGATAGAGCGAGAGAATTAGTGATTAGGACATTTATTTATTTAGTTAGTAATTTAAGTTAGGTAGTTAGTTAGGTATCCGCAGGCGTATTTTCACGATGGTGAATTACTGTGTTTGTGCCGGGTGCAAAAACACCGTTAAAACCGGTCACAGAGTCCACTTTTTCCCAAAAAGCAGGTCTGTGTTCCGTGCCTGGGTCAACTTTGTTCGGACCAAACGCGCTGACTTCAGTGCTGCTTCGGTATCCAAGACCTCGGTCTTTTGCAGCACCCATTTCAGTTTTTATGTTTCCACTGTTCGATTGCGCCCGCGCCTCTCTCTCTCACACACACACCAACATATTCCAGCATTGCAATCTTGACATCGCAGCCTGTTCATTATAGCCACGGAGCTTCAGAGCAAAGGCGGAGCTACAGATTAGGTGTCCTTAAATAACCCGCGTATCTAACAGTAGTTCCGCATTAATTAATTTGCACGCGAGTTTTATTTATTTTTAATACCGTGTATTCTCCGTGTATATTCATGCACCGAACCGTGACTCCCGTACCGTTTCGGTTCAACACGAATACATGTACCGTTCCACCTCTAAGTTATGCCTATAGCCTACTTACCAAGACACCTGACCAACTCTCCACTGGTTCTCTTCACACCAGATATTTATGTGTCTTCAATAGGAATTATTTAAATTCCTTTTTGGCTCCTCATCTGTATCACGCCTACGAGGCTCAAAATTGTATGGCTGTGGGCCATCGTATGTTTGAGGAGGATTTTGGATCTCCTTAGACTCAAAACTCTCCATACTTGAATAGAACTTTTTTGGCACGTCTCCCTCTTCTGACCTCACAGCTCAGCTGTGTTTTAAAAATATGATCTTGACAGAAATGGCTATAAAGCTTACTGTAGGGCAATTACAGTAATAATTTTAATAATAATTACATTTTCACTCAGACATCTAAACCTTATTTAATATATCAAAAAAAAAAAATTTAACCTGACATACACAATTTAACAACCCGACTTTATTGTCGTAAAACAAACCAAGCCATATACATAAGCACCTGATCCACATAGGATCAAATCCCCCCAGCGTTATCCATCCAGAGCAGCACAAACCCAGCAGGCCCTTTCCCAGCCTTATGCCGGATCACAGATTTAACACTAGTAAAATCTTAAGACCCTAGTAACAGCTGCCAGACCTCGACATTCCCACACCGCTGGACAGTGACGGATAGCGGGAGAGGAGCTTGCGTGATTGGTCCTTTCGCCTGAGGGGAATTACTGCATGATGCTCAAAATCACAAAGCAGACTACAGTACCAACAATGACCTGGAAAAGCAGAAAATACATGCCTATTCCAATAAAGTTTAGACCAGAATCCTACATACACGTTGAGGGCGACACATAATCAATATATTTTGCCGTGTGGCTCTTTAGATAAATAAAATGCCTAAATAGAGACTCCACACATCTTCAGCACACAACACCTATAATAAGAGCTGTTAGACTAATACAACGGTTTGGTGATTTAGTGTTTCTTTTAGTCACGCCTGAACTGGCACTACATTGCACAGATGGTCAGCAGGGCAGAGAGACAAAATATCTTTATTTTCCTTCACAAATAAAACGTGCAATGAGATGACAGCTTCACAGATGGGTAAGGAGGAGAACAACTCCTTTACACAAACACAGAGAACATGTCAGCACCCTAAAAAACAATCAATGACCACATCAACACAACTCACACTGTGCCCATTGACACACACACACATCTGTTCATCTGTCAACTGGGATACCAGACATGAAATACCAGATGCAGACCTAATCAATAATATTATCATACGATACTTGTTCAAAATAATCAAACATTCACTGTTACATCTTATATTCAGAATATGAGAGTCTGAATTATCAGGTTCAACAATATCAAATATGAAGTAAGTGTCAGACTAAAGTGTTCATGTCATGCAAGGCTTGTTGCGAGGATCTGATCTCTTGAGTCAAACTCTGAGAACAAATCAGATTCAATATTCTGAGTTTGTCAAGTGAAATCAGATTACAGAAGTGCGTATGTGACATTCTAACAATCAGATTAAGATGTTCTCAATATGAGACATTCTGAATGATCTCACATCATATAATGACTGTCATTACATCACCGGTGTGTGTCTTGATTTCATCATGTTATTATATATTATAGCTAATAGTAAATCACTGTCTGATATTTTAAGTCAGATTGACTATTATAAATTAATGACATGATTAGAGTGTGTCTGATATTGATAATTAGATTCGATTCTATAAATTAGAGTGTCTCATATTCGAATTTACCCAATTAAAATCTTATTTATTATTTATTAATAAATCAGATCAGTGTGTGTCTGATATTATTCATCAGATCAGATGCTATAAAATGACAATATTAGAGTGTGCCTGATATTGCTGTTCAGATTAGATGTTATTAATAAATCAGATCAGTGTGTGTCTGATATTATTGATCAGATCCAGTCTGTCGGATTTGTTCAACGCGTCATTTAAATGACCAACTTACACTGATTGCCTGCAGTACTTTAGACACATAGAAATCTAAAAAGGACAAGGTCCCACCAAAGACCAACATTATTCATTATTATTAGAGCATTATCATAACTACAATATTTCCCATTTGAGTGTTATTTGTGAAAAAAAATACAGGAATATTGTACCCATCTGTTTGTTTGATGTTAGCCGCTGCTAACCGACCCGCTAACGAACGACAAACCGTATTTTACTTTACCTCAGAATAAATCCATCAGACAGTACGTCAGTCCTCATAGACATCTAGTCTTCAGCGTGTACATGGTGTCGGTAACGGACAGAAACGGCCCAGTAAACGTCTCCTGAAAACCCTCCGTCTCTCGGTGCAGCAAAACGCGTACAGCAGCCGCGGCGTTAATGCGCATGCGCGAATGCTGCCTGGGAGCTCTCGCGGTGTAACTGTTCATTGCATTCGCGTGCTGCCATCTAGCGTTTAGCGCGGAGAGAGCTTGGTTTACAATTATTTCCGGTGGGTTTTTGGTAATACGTCATCATAAAATGAATTTAGGATAATTAATTCACTGATAATCGTGTATATAGTATGTGTTTTATGTATTATACATGGGCGGATGTAGTAAAGGGGAATTGTTTTAAACATGTCGTTGCAGCTCCGGACCTGTAGGTGGCAGTGTGAGCGCTGTTTGTTTCCATTGTCTCCTGCAGAAGAAAAGCTCTCATGTGTCTCATGTCTGCTGTTCAGAACTGAGCCATGGAAAGAAAACACATGTCCGCATTATCTATTTATCAGACATTATCAGGAGGAGCAACATCTGAAGTGCAGGTAAAAATGCTGCATTTGAGAAGTATTAATTTTTGTTTCGTGGTTGAAAGCTTCTTACGGGGGAGCATAAACCTCATGTCACAAAAGTTGTTAAACCAGGCACATCAATATTGATTTCTAATATAATGAAAACACATTGAATATAGAATATATTGCAGAAACATTGTGCAAAACCTCTCTGTTCTTTTGCTAACAAAAACGCATTTGAGTACTATTTAAATACCACTTTATATAAATATGATTAAATTAAATGGTATACACTATGACTAAAAAACAATTCTTCAAACTGGGTTTGCAAGGGAGTGTAAAAGTTTAGAGTAAAAATGTTACAATAAAAAAGCAAGTTTATACTAGCTAACTAACAGAATGGTTTGAATAAAATAGATTCAAATAAGTACATTGATTTAAAATGCATTAAATTATTAAATAATAAATTTAACCGTAAAGTATAATATTGATTAGAAAAACAGTAATAATGTAGAAGCGTAGAAACATTTTCTAAATAATATTTTATGCATGTTTATAATATACATTTTTCACCCTATAAATGGGGTCTTTATACACAAAAATATATTGCTGCCTTTTAAATTTTAGGATTGGGGCCCTTGCACCAGAATCATCACATTTGGGGGTCCAAATATAAGATTGAAAACCCTTGAATTAGAAAAATACCATGGTATTGCCAGCATGTTATTACCACCATTTTTTTTTTTTGTAAGTGCTGTAAAATTAAATAGCATGACTTCTGTTTTACAGGCTAAGGCACCCGCAGCAAAGAAAAACAAAAAGAAGGAGAATGGCATTCAATTAAACAAGAAATCAAATAAAAAGAAAAGAATGAAACCTCTGAAATCCCGCATGAGGCCCAGCAGCACTGACAAATCTAAAGGCGTAAGTGTCTAACTGTACAACGACACATACAGGAGCATCAGTGGAGATTTGAAGCTCACGATGTTCTGTTTTTCCCAGGACTGTGAGACAGATGACGGTGAAGGATTTGACAGTCCGGCTCTTGACGCACTCCTGACGGATCTGGCGAAGGTCAACAACAGCAGAGAACGAGCCAACAGACTGTTCCAGTGGCTAATTCACCCAGTCCAAGACAAAAGCTTCCTCAGGTTTGAGACCACACACACACACACACACACACACACACACACACACACACACACATTTATAGCTCAATTGAATTAGTTTCATAATTGATGAACTTTGCAAAATGAATACCGTTGTTGAACTGAATTAAATCAACGCTCAACTGACTTTAGCTGAATAATGACACTATTGTCTTATTTAGCAACTGTAAAGTTGTTTCATAATTGTTGAATTCTGCAACATCAATACTCTTGTTTTTTTGCTTATTACTGTGAAACAATCTGTATTGTATAAAGACTTAAAAACACAAAATTATAAACATTATAAACTCAATACTATAATGCAAAAACTCATTCCCTGTACCATATGACAATAATAAAAATCATCCTGTCCAGACTTAAAAAATTAAAATTAAAATTAGAAATCATGAATTATTATTTTTTTTTGGTTTAAAACAGAGATAACGATTCTGAATAGACAGCTAGACAAGATAATGTAATTTAGTAGAGGTTCTGACAAAATGTTAATTGCTGCAGTAGTCTATTAATAAAAACACATTTCATTAATTTGAATTAAAAAAAAAACTTGGTTTGAATAAATGATTCAATGACTCACTCATAAAGTCTTCACTTCATTTTTGAACGAATCTCTTGAATGAATGATTCAATGACAAATACATTTTTTATCAGTCGCTTGTTGCCACATACTGGTATACCGATGTAATTGATACAATCTTTATTTAAAGCCTCAAGTTACTTTAAGAAGGTGATTTACTCTATTTTGATCGCTACTGTAGACATCAGTGTTTATATCCAAACTATAACTTTAATCCCAGTACTTATTAATTAATTTGGATTATTGTAACAGAAATAATGATAATGTGACTGTGTGAAGCTGTTTCATAGCTATACATTACAACCGCTCTCTCTGGATCAGAACACAGATCTGAATGTTCGCTGTGATCGGACTTGTCAAAGGTTTAATAGACAGAGCCGAATCGTTGTCATTTAGGAATAAGATCGCCTGGCTCTTTGAATCGAGATCACGATCTTTTAAAGGTGCTCTATGTAACTTTTCTACTAAAATGAATCCTTTTTTTATTGCCTGTGTGTGAAGGGGTTGTAATCACACATTAAAATGATCCACTTGTCGATTTTTGCTATTACCTCTGAAGGCCAGTATTCCTATTTATATGTGAAGTCTCCGGGTCGGCTTTACCGCGAAATCCAACGGATGTGACGTGCATGCGCGCTCCCGAGCCTCTCTCCTTATATACTGTCTATTGTAGACGGTCAGGGAGTTACGTCCGGTTAAAGGCGCACGTTTTTCGGCTTATATCTCAGTCAATCTTTGATCAATATTCCCAAGACTCTAATCGTTTGTAGTGCTGGACGGGGCCTTTCGAACGAGCCCACCCCCGAGGTCCAACTCGCCCGGCTCCCCGAGTTATAGCCGTTCGAAATCGGAGGTCCCAGCGAACGGCGATCCGGTAGGGGGCATCCCCGAGGCCCGCCACTCTAGCGTTCGGGCAAGGGTTCCCCTGGGACCTCCTCCCCCGAATTTGAGCTCTCTGGGTCTTTGCGTTCCAGAGATACGAGCGATTTTCTTCTGAGATCGTGACGTCACCGGCGTCCGCAATTTTGCAGCGCGCCCGATGGTTTTCTGCTAATATCTCAGAGAAAATACCACCAAAAACTATGGAACTTATATGGTTCTTTTCAGCTCGACTAGATGGTCCCAACGAGCTCGGTGCTCGCCAAATCCGTTTAGTATTCGCAGAGATATTTGCGTAATAGACGGTATTGTCTATGAGTTCGAGCACGAGCGCTCTTGTAAAATTTGGTTGCAATCTGAAACATCACCACTAGAGGCCGCTAAAAGTTACATAGAGCACCTTTAACAGTTAATCATGCAGCTCCAAATGGCAGTCAACTACTTTTTTCATGAAAATGATATTGAATGTTCCTTGTGATATATTGGTATTGGGATATGATCATTTTTCTTAAGCAGTTTGCATTAGATTGACCAAGTAAGAGATCAGAGATATCTTGTTTTGTCTACATTATAGAGATAATTGGGAGAAGAAACCAATGCTGATCCAACGGCAGAATCCCGATTACTACAAAGGACTCTTTTCTACCGCTGAGTTTGACCAGATCTTAAGAAACGTGAGCAACTTTTGTTCTTTGATTCAGAGTGAATCGGTATATCTAAAGCGGCCGTCAGATATAATGTTCAGTGTTTTGCTCAGGATGATGTGCAGTATGGAGTAAACCTGGATGTGACGAGCTACACAAATGGCAAAAGAGAGACACACAATCCTCCAGGAAGAGCGTTACCGTACACTGTGTGGGATTTCTACGAGGTAAAGATCATGAACATTTCCCTAATACATTGAAACTGATGTGTTGTATGATTACTGGTATTACATTTTGGCTTTGATCATATATATATATATATATATATATATATATATATATATACACCAATAGTGGAGGCAATATTATTTAAAAGATGCAAAGGTGATAATATTCTGTTGTGCAAACATTCTTAAAGGGGTGGTTCAGGATTTTGGACATCGGGCCTCATTTCCAAGTTAGCTTTAGTGTTATTTATCAGTGGAGACCGTTTTCAAAAAAGTTTATCCAGTCGTTCCAGTTGCATAGTTCACCGGTGCTGGCGCTAGTCAGCGGTAACTGCTAGCCTGCCATTAAAAACAGTTTTACCCACTCCACAGTACACCAAAAGCAGATAAATTATAACGCCAGACTATCGATGTAAATGTCTGTTGAGAGAATAATGTTAGAAATCAAACTACTCTTGCATCTCAATGATCGCAATACATTTACAGGAACTAGTTTCTCAGCAGCGGCGGAATTTTACTTTGCTCCGGTTAGTAGCACTGCGCCGAAAAGTAAACACAGAACCGAAGCGCACTACAGTCGGGACTACCTGTACTACCCAAGCGTGCAGCACAAGCCCTGAAAAGTGAAGCCAAAACGTCTCAATCGCCCCCCGGTGGCCAGTCCTAGTATAGGTCATAAACCCCGCCTCCCCGTGTTATTCAACGGCACGTGAGACCAACTAAACAATTAAATTACACTTCAAATATCGTTTTTCCAAATATGGTTTCTGTAATTTACGGTAGTTTTTATCACGCTGATGTAATTTCAAGTGTTTGTTTTTAAAATAAGTTTGTTTTTAGTTAGTTATTTTGATGCAGTGGTGGTGACGTCATGATTGACAGCTGTGATTGACAGGTTCTCTGAGCGAAGTAGTCACTGAAGCACCAACAGACTTTTTTCAGGATTTTCAGAGGACTGAGGAGATTGGAGCTTTAAATTTAGAATATAAATTACTATAATTAATTTTAAAAAAAGTGCCGAAGCGTGTGCTTGCGATTGATTCTGCGAGAGTGAGGGCGGGGCTTTGATTTTGCGGCTTTACTTCCTGTTCACGACTGCGCATGTCTGGGTCCTGAGATCGCTT